CATTAGTGAATGGCAGCAAAAATCATCTTACTGAAGCTTCCTTAAACTCTAATCAATCAGTAAAATTTTAATTTCAAGTTAGGATCTGTAAAGGTCAGGGGTTATGTCCCAATATTTGTTTCTATTTTAAGGGTGTACATTGCAAAGATGCTCCTTACTATTAAACCCTAAGGGGGTCAAGGGAGAAATCAAAGTTTTTACAGCTCAATTCACCCTTACAGCTTGCTCTAAGTCAACTTATAGGAAGTATAAACATCTTGAGTTTGGACAGGAGTATGGCTTCTATTTCAAATAAACTGTATTCTCAAGGAGTCCCCACACACATTTGACATTTGACAGGAAGGTGACAAAATGGAAGGCGGTGGTATACCACCTAAAAGGGCAGGCAGAACAAGCAAGAGATGAGCAATTATGCTTGTCACAGAATACCACATTCTGGATTCCCTCTGTGGCAAAAGAAAAAAAACCAAACTACTGAACAAACTTTACTTCCTCCCATCAATGATTCCTAGCATGACCAAAAAGAATCACAATCTCTTAATGTAAAAGCAGCTGATATATAGAAAAAAAAAAATCATGATTGAGGTCATGTCCCTTGACATGCATCATTTACACTAAGGATTCCCCCACTTATCTGAATTAATTTCATGTACCTCATTTCATTCAGATAATTGAAGTTTTCCTTTTAGAGTTGAAAGTGTTTACCCTCAACATAATTAGTAAACTGTGCACTTAAAAATGCCACTACAAAAATTACCACCCCCTCTTCTACACATACACGCAAACTGCTCTATCATTAAAAGTATGAGATTTTTGGCCTTCATGGGAAATTTAGTTCAAAAGTCCTCTTTAAAAAATTAGCCCAAGAAATTCCACAAGAAAAGTTATGGTCATTACTTTTTTAATATACAGTGTTTGCACTACTTGTTAAAGACATGGTAATTTGGATATTCAATACATTACTACTGTTCTGAAACCGAATTAAAGGTTTAGACTACTAAAGAGTTTGATGACTTGCCTCAATACAATAATTGGGATTCTATGGAGAACAAAATCAAAGCGGTCTCTCCTTTTATGAGCAGGCATTTAAGGGCCTTTTAATGAGAATTTACTTTTTAGTATATAATTACTAATCTACAAAAATAGGGCCATTAAACTCACTTTTTTATAGTGCCATAAAACTTCTACGTGTAAGAAATATAAAATAATATATAACATATTAATCAAACTCAAGAAAAATTGAAATATGTAACACCTAACAATACATGGTGAAAATTACTATATCTTTTCTTCTTAAATAAATTCCCTGTCAGATGACTAATGAAGCTTTTTTATAAGAATGTGCTTATAATTTCAGACATAGACTCTCTAGTGCTAATGATGAAATGCCTAAACTTCCTGTATGAATTCTAAATTCCTATATGAACACTAATTTTCCATACTAATCACAGATTTACTGTTAGGATGAACTTCTATCTAATCAGTTATGTATTTATCACCTACTATGTGCCAAGCACTGTACTGAGTACTGAGGACACTGCCACAAACAGCACAGAATTGGTCCCAATATGCATGGTACAGTCTAGAAAGAAACACAGGTAACGAACAGATGTGTTGTGGGAGAGTATAACAGGTATTTAGTCAATTAAAAGCTCAAAACTAACAGAAGACAGAGGTAGAAAGACAAGAATTTGAAAATAACTAGCTACCTTTGAAAGTGAATGAAAATCACCCATTAGGTGACTGAGCTAAGAAGGCAGAAGAGAACCCAATAGCAAGGTAGTCAGGAAAAGGGTCAAAGTAATGAGTGCATGAGTCCAGGGTATAGAGTACCTGCTGCAAATAAAAAATTAACCCTTCAAAAGAGCTTAACTTGTAACAGCCAAAGAGCCCAGCTATCAGCTAGCTGGCCTGTTCCCAGTATCTACGGCAGCGGTTCTCAACCTGTGGGTCGTGACCCCTTTAGGGGTCGAACGACCCTTTCACAGGGATCGCCTAAGACCATCGGAAAACACATATATAATTACATATTGTTTTTATGATTAATCACTATGCTTTAATTATGTTCAATTTGTAACAATGAAAATACATCCTGCATATCAGATATTTACATTACAATTCATAACAGTAGCAAAATTACAGTTATGAAGTAGCAACGAAAATAATTTTATGGTTGGGAGTCACCACAACATGAGGAACTGTATTAAAGGGTCGCGGCATTAGGAAGGTTGAGAGCCACTGATAAGGGATCAATCCAAGTGAGCTCAAGTCCAGAAGGCAGTAACACAGTATCTTGGCTCTGCAAGTTCTGCCCTGGACAAGAACAGGTTCCAGCTGCCTGAGGGGAGCAGGGATGGCAGGAGCAGAGGGAAATGGCCAAGCTGTCAGAGTTCTAAGCAGGCTTCAAAGAGTTTCCAGGCCCACAAGGGATCTGGAATACAAAAAGGAACCACACGAGCAACTTATTAATTCTATGGACTATTTAACAATTACTAAAGAAAGGCTATAGAATTGTTTCTCAGGTTACCTTTAAAAATAAACACTCAAAAAAAAAGCTGTCATCTGTTTAAATGACTTAAGTATGACCTTCACGTGTCAGAGAAAAGGACTAAATATTCTTCCTATTTCTTATTAATTGCCTGATTCTATATCCTAATTCCATCTAAACCTATGTTGATATACTCTAGATCAGCGATGGCGAACCTTTTGAGCTCGGCGTGTCAGCATTTTGAAAAGCCCTAACTTAACTCTGGTGCCGTGTCACACATAGAAATTTTTTGATATTTGCAACCATAGTAAAACAAAGACTTACATTTTTGTTATTTATTTTATATATTTAAATGCCATTTAACAAAGAAAAATCAACCAAAAAAATGAGTTCGCGTGTCACCTCTGACACGCATGTCATAGGTTCGCCATCACTGTTCTAGATGCTCCACACACACTTCACTAAGATGTTTATGTCATATAGTTCAAAATTCCTAATGGAAGTACAGTATTTTTAAAACTGAGAATCTCACAAACTGAGTACATGCCAAGGGTAAAGTGAAACACCATACCTCTGTGAACAATAATTGCTCAGAGAACCAGAATAATTCCATATCCCACCTCCTGAAAAGGATAGGAATCTTCATGTATCTCAGTCTTAAAAATCCACTTAAGAACTGGGTAGAAGGGACAACACTGGCAGTAGGCAGGCTGGGTAGACTAGAACTGATGTAAGAACCAGGAAAGCTAGATGTATAATTATTTGCCTCCTATAAATTAAACACCATCCTACTCTACTGTACAACTGTTTTCAGTAATAGTGTCAGCAGAAAGAAAAATGCTTGTAGTCCAAAGATGTTGTTCCTGTCAAGGCTATTATTTATATGACTACATATTCAAATGGGAACTGCTCTATGGAATTGGCCCTGCATTTGCCCAAACATTATTTGCCAAGGCTATTCAAAGGGTGGAGTGGTGGTACTTTCCAAAAGAAATACTTGACAATTGTCCTCAGTTAATTTTTTTAAATAAACAAAACATGCTAATCTATTAAAGAAAAAGGCTGCTTGACAATTTTCCTCAATTTTTTAAATAAACAAGACATGTTATTCTGATCTATTAAAGAAAAAGGTGATAAGACTTCGAGAAAAAGAAAATATAGTGGTTTCATTGCATGGGTTTTTTGTTGTTGTTGTTGTTAGCTATATTACCAACATGAAGCACCCATGACCTATCTAGCACAGCCCCCAAAACTGTAAAATATCAATTCTGGACAGCTTACCAAGGTAGCCAGGCTCCCAAAATCATGTTTCTTTTCTTTCTATGATTTTGTTGTTGCTGTTGTTGTTATTTTGGGGGTTTTTTTTGTTGTTTTTTGAGTGGGGGGGAGGGGGATAAGGGAAACAGGAGAGAAACATCTATTTGTTGTTCCATTTATTTATGCACTAATTGATTGACTCTTGTATGTGCCCTGACTGGGATAGCACCTACAAACTTGGTGTATGGGGCCCTATAGCCAGGACCCAAAGTCATATTTCTTACAAAGGTCTTCATGCTGAAAAAGATATACTTATAAAGTGAAACCAAGGCTTTAAAATGGCCCTACAGTAACAATTAGGGTCATTCAAATCATGGTTGTCAAACTTCATTCCAGTGGAAAAGTCATAGTATATTAGCTTCAGGTGTTCTACCAAAAATTAAATAAAGGTGTCCCTTTCCCAATGTCACAGTAACATGTTACTAATATATGTGATACCTGCTATGGATTTCAGCCTAGTAGAGTATCTGACTCAACACACACAAAAAAAAACAAATATTTCAGGTTTACAATATAATGATGATGACTTCCAGGACACTTGGCTATGGTCTTAAGTTTGGTTAAACTCAAGACCACAAACATTTACAGAGTACCCACTACACTTGACACAAGGCCTACACAGATAAGACATGGTCCATCTTTCATGAAGCCATCAGGAAATGTGCACACAGGCCAAGAAGTATTTACTAAATGCCTACACTAAGCATTGTGGCATGCGAGATGCAAAGAATTCACCCCACCCCAGCAAGGGCTTCAGGACTTCTGCATTTGAGGACCACTAAGTAATGGTGCTGGGGATGCTGGAATCTGGTTACTACATGTGTATAGGACCTCTATTCCTAATTCATATCAAGGTTATAGACACCCAACACTGAGACTCTGGAAATGCCAATCTCCCATGCCTGGACTATCAGAATCAATAATATAAGTAAACACTCTTGAAATGAAAATACATAATTACTAAATCCAAACTAATTGGAAAGTACTATTTCAATTGATAGAAAGTAAACATTTCTTAACTATAAATAATTTGTATCACTTGCTTCTAATGGGTACAAATCACAAATTAAGGCAATTACTCAAAACCGGGGAGGGAAAAATAAAAATTTAGTAATTACTTGACTGTTTATAAGATACCATAATCAAAACAAATTTTCATACAGGAATATCCATGAGGGAGGTCTGAATTATCTACTTAAGTATCTAATTCATGAAGTCTTCAGCTCCTTTTCAATCTCCTCAAGTAACTTTCCCTGGTTAATTTCTTTCTGTAAAATAATGGGGTTGGATTAAACCGCCAGAGTCCCTTGCACATAGAAAACTCTGTACTTCTGTGGTCCTTAAGATTAAAATGTCAATGCAGTTTCAAAACAGTGTCAAGAAGCCATCTTAAAAATTCCCTTTCCTACCTCATCTCAGTATCACACTTCAGAGTTTACCTACTCAGTTTTCAAGTTTGTCAAAGAAAAGTTTCATGAATCAAAAGGTGCTCTTTCCACCCTCAATACTAAAACTGTTGCATTAAACATAAAATCCTTGGGAAAATATAAAACAACAGGAAGTGGGAGCTGAGGAGAATCTATTCCACTTTTAGACCTGTAACGCACTAATTAAAATTCAATACTGCGCTTGGTACGTGGGCTCCTACTCCAGACTCCTGCCGTGCTGTATTTAGCTCAAGGTTACACAGGTTAACAGAACCCAATAAAACGGCTCTATTGGATTATATCAGACCTCCTTCCAGCAGCCCCTGCACCTGACCGCCACGTGAGCTGCAACATCAGCTGCAGGGGCAGCACCCCATCACCAAGGCGCGCCACGGCGCCCCGGGGCTGCATTCTGCAACCCACCTCTGGTGGAAAGTCAGTTTCCAACCTAGTTTCAACTCACGTTTTCCATTTCAAACTGGTGCAGGTGGAGGAAAAAAGTGTCAAGCCTCCTCTCTGAACCTCCAGCCGCACTGCCTCAAGGCGCTAACTTAAGAATGCTCTCAAAGATAGAATCGAATGCAGTGCGGGTCTCAGAAGACTCTAGAAGTTGTATTTGGGAGAAGCGAGAAAAAGGAGCAAGCCCTCGGGACTAAAGGTTAAGTGACGAGACGGGGTACAGGGCTGGATTTACAGGACTTAAACTCAGAGACCCTTTCCGCCCCGACAGTCGAGACCCTGATCTGAGCACACGCCGGCTCCTCCTGGGACGGGTCCTGGGAGGACAGGGAGCTCTTTAGCCTCTGCAGACACGGGGGCGGGGCGGCTGGCGAGGTCGGCGCAGTCCGGGTGACACCGGGCCACGCGCAACGGGTCCCTTCGGGGA